TGGGATAAATTTGGACATTTAGGACAAAATCCTTTCTCTTAATGATTTAACCCCAACCCCTACCAACCCAGGATCAGCAACTGTTGTGGATCAAAAATGTTGCTGAAAACTGCTGAAAGCTAGCTTTTTAGATAAGCTACTTTTTGAGAACTATTGGGGTATTTAATTTCTCTCCCAAAACATAAATGGATAAAACCTTTCAAATAAGAAAATTGATTTAAGGAAAGCAGAATTTTTCTTCAAAAAGGAGAAAAAAGAGAAACTGATTGTGTCATTTTAAGGAGGGCTTTCCTGTGACCTGTTTTACTGATCACTTTAAAAGATGCTGTTGCACATCTCCGTAGTAAGTGCTGGGTTGGCACCAGCTCCAGTACAGAAAGCCTGCATTCGGTTTGAATAAATCCTACCCTTATGGCAGGAACAGCTCTGGTCATCTGGAAAAGAGCCAGTATCGTTTGAGTAATTTGCAGACCGTAATTTGAGAACCACTGCATTAATTATGCACTGTTTGCTGAACTGCAATCAGGAATAGCCAGTTCCGAGTGTTGACACGGAACTCAAAACGATTCTTGGTGAACAAGCTTTGATTTCAACAGGGGGAGCTGCATAGCTTCAGCAGAGCCCGCAGCCGGGAAGAAGGCGGCTCTTGTGCTGCAGCCTCTGCTCCGCTCCCGTGGTTCCAGGCAAAGGAGGTGTTGGGGGATCTGGTCCCCGTGGCAGGGCAGCCCTAACCCGTCTGCCCCTGCAAGGGCTCCTGCCTGCCCTGGGTCTTCATCCATGCTTTCTCCATGCCTGTGGGAGGAAGTCTGAGCCTGTGCTCACCCGGAGCCTTGGAGCTGCCATTCGCATCAGCTCCTTCCCAGGCAGCAGGATGGAAAGGGCACCTTGCTCCTTCTGGCAGAAGGGCAGCTCCCTTGTGTTGCTCTTGTCTGTGCTGGCATGGTCATTGAGGCATACAGGGTCTTTTCCCCTAAATGTGCTCTTGCAAAACAACGTATGCACAGCATGGAGGTTTTTAATACTGGTGGTTGCTATTCCCAAAGAGTAGCTCCTAGTATTCAGGGCCCAAAGCCTCATATGGAATCAGAAACAAATTAATGCTTGGTACAGTCTGACTGAAAGGAAACATTTGGACTGAAACCGCCCTTAGAAATCACAAAGCATGGAAAGATGTATTTGATTAATCAGTGTCTGCTTGCTATGCAATTATTTAATTACCGGGCATTTGCTAGTATTTTGCCTAGCTGTGTTTTAAAGTGCAGATATTGCCATGATGTCAGGAAACATTCTGGCTCTTAATCTCACTAGTCCTTTCTCTTCCTCCAAATTATCTGTTAATGTCTTTATCTCCTTCTACAGATTTTTCCTCTAGAGGGTTCTTGGATGTCACTGTAATTCTTTCAGGTCTATAATTTGTGTTGCAGGTGTCTGAAATTACTGTAGGTACTTTGGGGGTGTTTTGGGTTTGGCGGTTTTGTCATGTGTAGCAAAGAGCTTTTCCAGTATTTTGGGAGGGGATATGTTCGAAGACCACGTTTCTCCATCATACCTCTATGGAGTTTCCATAGTTTTTTCACTGTATGTCAACAGTGAAGCTACAAAATAAATACAGGAAAGGAAGCAAAAGGGTCACGTTGTAGCAGTGAAAATCTTGGAGTTTATTTTGTGTGGAATAGATGTAAGATTATCTATAAAGTGTGATGAACTGATTTGGAGGGTTTTGACAAGGGTGTGATTTTTCTACACCAGATTCTGCAAAAAGGAGTGAGGCAGTCTCTGAGGCAGTGCTCATGTATCAGCAGCAGTGCAGGATTATAACCTTCACCACATGCCCAGGCAGTCTTCATTGATGGGATATTGATCTAGGTCTTTGTCCATGGCAATGGATTCTGGACTGAATTGCTATCAAATGAACATGTGCTTACTTTTACAGGTCAGTCTTTTGCCCCTGGATTACCTTTTATGTGTAACTTACTTCAGCATGTCTTTGAAAACCTTGTATTGTTCAGAGATATGAATGTTTATGGAACTATTGAAAGTTTTAAATGCAAGTAATAATAGGAGTAATCAGATGGTAATACAAATGGAAGCTGAAGCTAGAGGCAAATTGTGAGAGCTGGGATCTGTTGCAGACTTCTGATTGGCAAATATTGAACTATTTATTTCATTAGAATAAAACCAGTGGTGTTTGAATAACTAAGAATTTGCTTTGTTTGTGGCATGACTTGTCTGTTGTTGATCAATTTATTTTAGATTGAAGCATTCAGAGCTCCAGCAGGATTTAGATGCCTTTAATTCTCTTGGGAAATGGTAGGAAAGTCTTCAGCCTGTAGAAGATTTTAACACCTGCTTGGCTTTATTAGTGTGATGAAATGTGTTGCAAACAGATGATTCCAGTTTCTTAGGATTTGCTGAAGATGATTCTCAGCTTGGGCTTTTTTCTTTTCCTTTCATCTTCTGTAAATATTTATACAAAACCTAGGATTTCAGACCTGTGCTATTAGTGTAATGTAGAGGTTTTATTCCATTCTTCTTCTGCCTGTTACCGTGCTCATGCCCGCTGGCAGGTTTATTGAGGTTCTTACTTTCAGCCTCCTTAAACCATGCAAGAAGGCTCTTCTACCTGACAGCAGTGGAGGTGTGGAGGTCGTCCAGTGGAGCAGAACAGGGCTGCAGGGATGTCTGTCCCAGAGACACTCAATCGCTCTGACTTCTTGTATCAGAATTTGATGACCCCCTGTCTGGCCTTATTTTGAGTTCTTTTTAGACTCTGCCTCACTGCATAGAAATTGTCATTATTGCTCTGGGAACAAGAAATACGCTCCTCTGAGCAGAGGGTGGAAATCCTGACTGGTAGGAAGAAGAGCGAGAAGAAGTCAGTGTGCAACACACAAGTCAGTGTACACTTGGGTGTGTTTGCAGCCTCTGTCCTCTAGCAGGTTACTTTGATAACTGGTAATAGACCACTTTGCCTCAGCTAAACTGGTGCAAACAGTTACTCTTGCAACAGGAATTACTTTCTGCTTTATTAAGGAAGATGTGCACAAGTCCATGGGTCCTGATGAGATCCATCCGCAGGTCCTGAAGGAGCTGGCAAATGAAGTTGCGAAGCTGCTGGCCATCATATTTGAGAAATCATGGCAGTCAGGTGAAGTTCCTGATGACTGGAAAAAGGGAAATATAACCCCGATTTTCAAGAAGGGGAAAACGGATGACCCGGGGAATTACAGAGCAGTCAGTCTCACCTCTGTGCCTCGCAAAATCTTGGAGCAGATTCTCCTGGAAGGCATGCTAAGGCACATGGAAATCAACAAGGTGCTTGGGGACAGCCAGCATGGCTTCACTAAGGGGAAATCCTGCCTGACCAATTTGGTGGCCTTCTATGATGGGGCTACAGAACTGAAGGACAGGGGTAGAGCAGTTGATGTCATCTGCCTGGACTTGTGTAAAGCGTTCGACACTGTCCCACACGACATCCTTGTCTCTAAATTGGAGAGACATCAATTTGATGGATGGACCACTCGGTGGATAGAGAACTGGCTGGATGGGCACACACAAAGAGTTGTGGTCAATGACTCAATGTCTGGCTGGAGACCAGTAACGAGTGGTGTCCCTCAGGGATCGGTGTTGGGACCGGTCTTGTTTAACATCTTCATCGGTGACACGGACAGTGGGATTGAGTGCGCCCTCAGCAAATTTGCTGATGACACCAAGCTGTGTGGTTTGGTTGATACCCTGGAGGGAAGGAATGCCATCCAGAGGGACCTCGACACACTTGTGAGGTGGGCTGATGCCAACCTCATGAAGTTTAACCATGACAAGTGCAAGGTCCTACAGCTGGGTTGGAGCAATCCCAGGCACAGCTACAGGTTGGGCAGAGAAGAGATTCAGAGCAGCCCTGAGGAGAAGGACTTGGGGTGTTGGTCAATGAGAAAATGAACATGAGCTCAGAAAGCAACCGTATCCTGGGCTGCATCACAAGGAGCGTGACCAGCAGGTCAAAGGAGGTGATCCTGCCCCTCTACTCTGCTCTTGTGAGACCTCACCTGGAGTATTGTGTGCAGTTCTGGTGTCCTCAACATAAAAAGGACATGGAACTGTTGGAACAAGTCCAGAGAAGGGGCACGAGGATGATCAGGGGACTGGAGCACCTCCCGTATGAAGACAGGCTGAGAAAGTTGGGGCTGTTCAGCCTGGAGAAGAGAAGGCTGCGTGGAGACCTCATAGCAGCCTTCCAGTATCTGAAAGGGGCCTATAGGGATGCTGGGGAGGGACTCATCATTAGAGACTGTAGTGATAGGACAAGGGGTAACGGGTTAAAACTTAAACAGGGGAAGTTTAGATTGGATATAAGGAGGAAATTCTTTCCTGTTAGGGTGGTGAGGCACTGGAATGGGTTGCCCAGGGAAGTTGTGAATGCTCCATCCCTGGCAGTGTTGGACGAGGCCTTGGGTGATATGGTTTAGTGTAAGGTGTCCCTGCCCATGGCAGGGGGGTTGGAACTAGATGGTCTTAAGGTCCTTTCCAACCCTAATTATTCTATGATTCTATGATTCTATGTTAGAGAATACCGCATGGTTAAACTGCATTGTTAGTAGCTGGCTCATTATATTTGCACTTGTGTTCTCCAGAAATCACAGGCAGAAGGTGTTACTGATGGTTGCAGTGTGATCTGTTGTATTTCCCACCAGGAACAAAACTTCCATTCTCTGTTTCACTTTTCAGGTTTGTTTTCTTTCAGGCAGGTCATGTCTTTTCTTTGGGTGCCCATATGTAACAGATGAGATAAGCAAAACAGTGCAGTTCCCACCTAGCCTGCCCAGTTCTGAAGAATCTTTGTGCAGTAATCCCTTTATGCATTAATGTAAAATACTGTCAAATAAAAATGGGGTGAATCTTTTATAAGAATATAAAAGTTTCCAGTAATACCAGATACATGCATTTTTATTGTTTCATTGTGTTATGATAATAGTAATTTCCTTCGATGCATTTTCTTGTAGTGAGAAGAAATTGTAACAGTGAATCCTCTGATTTCAGACAGATTATGTACAGCCGGCTGTGAACTAACGGCCGTTGCAACAGGAAGATGAACACATTTGTAAGCACTGTGGGAACGTTCCTGAAGTCTGCTTGTTCCCTTCTTTGAAAAGAGGTCTTTTTCTTGCCCACTGGTGCCTGGGACTCTATTCCATCGTGAGCACTGTATCCTCCTTAATGAGCTTACTTTCTCTTGGAATGGGAAGCGGATAAGTAGTTTGTTTTAGAGTAAAATGAAGATGGGAGGATGAGATTATGTAAAGTCACATATCTGTGTGCATGTTAAATTTGGAAGTGTCTTAGTTTCTTGTTTTCATGGCAAATAAAAGCTGAAATGAGAAAAAAGAATCACAAAAGCTACATCAAAACATCATGGAATTATATTGTGAAGCAGACTTTTCTAATAGAAAGGAACGATTTGAAAATAACCTTTTCTTTCAAAACTAGTTGCTTGAGAGAACAAAGAAGCACAAAGCTGAAACAATTGTAAATGGTAACCTTTAAAAATAGATACGTATTTCCTAATGAACCTGGCATTTTTTCGTTATCACAGACACATTCATTAACTGAAATATTTATTTGGGACTATGGGAAGTTTAAAAATGCAAGAGCTGCTTCATTTGGTTTTTCCTTTCTGAAGATGTGATTTATTTAGCATTAATTTCTGCTTGCTGCAGTTGATAGCAGCTCAGTGTAAAGATCTGGTGTCAGAGTTCTGCTTGTTGGCTAAGGACATGGGCTGCTGGGGACTTGAATGAACATGGTTTCTGGGATGGAGGTGAAAGATGTGAGCTGTGCATTAGGAGCATGGCCTGTGTGTATGCACAGCACTTCAGGACCAGACTCCTCACAGCAGGTCTGTAGGCAGCTTTTGGGAAATCTGCAGAGAATAGTGAAGAGGAGCACTCCTATGGATCTTCTATGCAACTGGGAACTTTTTAGGACTGATAAACTTGAGATTAAAACCTTATTTTATTATTATGATAACTTGGTCATGTGTATGTACCATACAAGCATGCATTCTGCCACTTATAATAGCTTGAAGGTACCTTTTTTTCTCTAAAGCTGGGTGCTGCCAGAGTGAACACCTGGCTCTGGGCAGAGCAGGACAGATCCTGCATTCCTCCTGTGGTTCAGGCAAAGTCAGCTTTCCTTGGGATCAGGGCCCTGTGAAAAGCCTCCTAACAAGCTCCCCTTCTTCACCTCTGATCTCTTTGATTTGAGAGCCCTGCTTGCTTTGCAGTGCTGTTCTCTTTGCAGCCAGGGTGTAAGCTCATGATCAGATGCAGTGCAGTAAACAGTTCAGCGAGTGGCTGTCAGCTCATGTGGGGTACCAAGCCAAGTGTGCCTCCTGGCGCAGCTGCCACCTCTCACTTGGGAGCCTAAAGCATCATTGGTTTGCTTTCATGACACAAGTGTGGTATGGGAGGTCAGACCTCGTCTGTTGCCGGAAAGCCCAAGCTGGGTCTCCATGCTGTAGGATGCTTTCTGGGGATGGGAACTGGATGGGTCATTGGGCAATGCTGTGGAAGATTTTTTTTCAACCCAACCATAAGAATCAGTTTTCAGCTCTCTGGATTCTTTCTTTGGTGCGTTGGGCTCCTTGAAAATGTTGTAAGCTGGGAGACTGAGCACTGGATCCTGCTCCTGTAACGTGGAAGGCAAGCTGGCTTTTTGGCTCAGTACAGGTAGAGCTTCAAGATTTATTATGGCTTTCTCCCTAAGGCCTGCCCAGGGGATATGCACCTTAATGGGGCTGTTTTACGTGGAAGTCTGTTCTTCCCAAGTTCATTCACGTCATGTTCCTTCCTGGTGTGCTGAGGCTGATACATCCAGAATACTTAATGGTTGACAAAAAACTGGGATTTTTGCCATAGAAATCTAACAGAATGTACAGAAAATAAAGGTAAATAGGTGAAGCTATGATTAGTGCTCCCTCTTCTCAAGCGGTGGTAGCTTCCTTTCCATCAGTGAGGCAGACCTTAGCTGAAATTCAACTCCCTGCATTTTAGTTAAACAGGAGTGGGAATCTGACTTCTTTCCCAAATGATGAAATGCCTTTTGATCAGAAAGGTAGGAGTTCACAGAAAAGCACTGCAATTTTTTGGCATCTTGATAAAAGCAGCACACTATCTGAAGCTTTTGAAGGATCCCCTTGAACAACAAAAGAAGGCAATGTGCAATTAACTTCCAAATAATGAGCACTTCATGAAATCCAGCTGGTTATAGCTTCCTCTTCTGTAGACTAAGAGATGACTGCAGCCACTTAAAACTACAGGTTGTGTAAGCTCATATTGAAGAGATGTACTAAACTAGGAAGAAGAAAAAATAATGGGATGTCTCCTTGGGTGATGCAGGAGCAAAGAGCACCCAGCAGTGTGACTGGTCAGGTCCTGGTGGAATTGCCAGTAGAAGTCTCTACTTGGCTTACATCCTTTGCTTGAAGAGTAACAGGCTTTTTTAGCTCAACACATCATTTTCCTGTTGGCATGTTTTGATGTTGTGCAAGCTTGTAGACTGTAGCTGACAAGCATCAATATTGTCATCATTGCCGTCATTACCTGCTGCCACAGCTCAGAGCTGGCCACCTCGGGGTGTCATTTGTTGGCATCCTATTTGTCTTGTCTGCAACAAGCTTCCACTGGGGCCTGTCTATAATATTCAGTGACATCAGAACAGTTTCTGGCTGCCTTGGGGACCTCTTTTATGTCTCTGACATATAGAACACACATACGCTGTTTGGAAGAGGGTGACAAAGGAGAATGATAATTTACTAACTTTATGAAAGAAACTTAGTATGGCTCATATGTGACAATATCAAGGTGTAAAAGCGACAAGGTACTGCTGCTGGCAGAGCTAGTAATATTTTTTACATGTATAGTAGCTTTGGAGCTTTGATCTGAAGCTAGTGCGGATTCTTTTGACCAATACAGGCATGGGTGGGGATTAAGTGTTACACCAAAGTGATACCCATTTATTGTACAGAACGCTTCTTTCTTTTTTGCTTTAGGCGTTTACCTTTTTTAATGTTGCTGTTGGAAGTTCTGCTACTTCAAAACTTACTTGTGATAAATGGGTTAATTGAAAATGATACCGATGTACTTAAAAGCCCTGAGTCTGGCTTGTTTTGAAGTGTTCTTATTGCAGTGCCTGGTATCAGAGTCTTTGCTGGGTGTTCTCGTTCCATGTCTATGGGGGAGGCTGCAGCACCCTGGCTTTGGAACAGGGCAGTGCTTGTGCCTTGCCTGGCCTGGCGTTTGCAGCGGTGTTTCTGATGAGCAGGAATTTAGCAGCAGAAGAGGTGGAGGTGGTGGGAGAGGAAGCTCAGCTGAGCGGCAGGGTAATCTATTGTCTCTCCTACTGCCTGGTTAAAGTACTCCCTGGAGGCTGAGCTGTCAGAAAGGATTTCTGTGCTCCACAACACTCTGTCGCTGTGTTGTGTACCTATTGGTAAAACCTAGGTAATGTTTAGCATCAGTGTTTCTTTTTCTAGAAAACCTTTTGTGACCCTTCAGATAAGAGCTACTGTTCCTAAAGAAAGGAAAAAAGATTGCCAGAACTCATGTAGGTGATAATTTCCAAGGAGGTTTGATGTAGGCAGCTATACAAATCTGAGAGAATGTCTACTTCTACTTCATGGAAATAAAAGACTATGTAAACGAAGTTTTGATGGTGTTGGAAAACCTGGAAAAGGTAAATAATGAACTGCTGTAAACAGACATGGATCTCAAGCTGAGAAATCAAACTAGAAATGCTGACATGACCTCGGTGTCAACTACAGGGGGATACATCTTGAAGTAAAACATCGTATGTATGCACAGAGCAGGGAGGAATCGGTTCTCACCAGTGCCTCAGAGCTGCAGGGCTGTTTTGCAGATGGGAATGGGCATGGGTAAGGTTTGAGGAGCATGTTCACCTCTTGTGTATGTCTGACTTGGATACCTGTCTGGTGCCAAGGCAGAAAGTTGCCTTTGACAGGAATTTGGGTATTTCCCACATCTGCACTGCAGTGAGCCAGGCAAGAGATGGACTTCTGTTCCCTTCCCTGTGTAATTCAGTGTGCTGGTGCAAGGGCCAGGGGTGGGCTGGGGAAGGAATGGGGGGTGCTTTCCTCAGTGCTTCAGTCTAGGCTGGGAGAAACCTGCAAAATCATGGCACTTGCCAAGCTGTACATCCATAACTTTCATGTATGCTGAGCATGAATATTAGCCTGTCAAAAACCACACAAGAAAGAAATTGACCTCATTTGCAGGTAGCTAAAAAGAAATTCCTTCTCAGACTCACAATATTATGAACGTTTGTTGTTCACAGAAGCCATCAAGTGTGACACAAACTTTACATACATAGAAAAAATCACCTCTTTTTCATTTTCCTCACATAATTTTTCCATTTTCACTATATTGAATCATGAGTGGAACAAACAAATGCTGCCTGCCTGCTTCCATGGTTGGACTTGGGTATTTTAAGATGAGTGGTCCCAGTAGGACTTATTCTGTGTTTGGGGCATTGCCTCTGTGGATGCATGGATACCTAATAGGAAGCCCTTACAGTGTGGCTTTCAATTCAATGGGGAAACTAATTCAGGCTCCTTTTGCCAGCTGGCTGATGCAGCAAACCTCTCCAAACCTAATGACAGGATGTAATAAGGTAACCTTTGAGTTTGACAGGAATTGTCAAATAGGCAGAAAAGCCAAAGGTGCCTGTGGCCAGATGCATATGCAGACGAGTGACATCACCTGCATTTCCATAGGAAACAGGCAGAATAGTTCTGGTATCAGGAGCATCAGAGGCTCATGAAAATGACAGGCAAGGTTTGTAATGGGTCACTGTTTTCTTAATTATGATAGATTTTTTTCCCCCAGACCAGTAGTGTGTTCAGGATCTAGGGGATGCTGCTGATTCTGGAGTCAATTCCAGAATCAGTTCTGAAGGACAATTCAGCAGATGTTCAGATGGAGCTGAATTCAAGACTTTTTACATTCTTTCAATCTGAAAGATAAGACAAATGATTTTGCATCATGTTGAACAAAATGTTTCCTAAGCACTCATGTGTGAGAAAGCAGTAGGCACGAAAGTTCTCTTTTCTGTCACTGCACTTTTTACCCATTAGGTTAGCAGGTAGTACACCTGACAGCAGAACCTGGAGGAGCAATCTGGACAGCAGTGAAATCTTCTCAAGGTTCCTGGGGATAGGTAACCCTCAGTATACTTTAGTTTAACCATTCACTAGGAGTTGGGCTCTGATCCTTATTGGTCCCTTCCAACTTGAGATAGTCTATGATTTCCTTCTTGATATACTAATAAGTAACCTAAACTCCCTCGTTTCTCCTGATGTTAGGCTTATTAATATGGGGCAAGCTGTGACACAGGTCAGTTGCCTTTGGAAAGACAGCTCTGGCCATGTGGAATTAACAGAAGGAGAAGATGGCAAAGTTAAAATCTAGAGGATAATTTCCCTTTATACTTCCCATATGTCTATAAGTAACATCACTGCTACATTTTTTTCCCAGATAATTTGTGGGTTACAGTGATTGAAAATATTATAAATAGCAATTGAGGCATCTGAAAATAAAGGTGATGACTTTGTAGCCAGTTGGTTAGGAATATGATGTGATATGTGAAACAAAGATTAGCAGAATTAAGTATCAAATTTGCTATTAAAATATTGTTTCTAAAGAGTTCAATATGAGCACATACTTAATTACAGAAGAAAAACCCCACTTTCTGCTTCTTAAAGTGGCAAGATTGAGACTTTCTGATTTAGAGCAAAGTAATTAAAAATGGAAGAGTGAAATTTAATTTCTGTGGGTTAAGTATAAATGGATCAAGCTTCTGTAAGTAAGTCAGTATTGAAAGATCTTAAAATCCTTTGATAGCAAACGTTTTGGAAACCAACAGCCAATCATGTAAAATATTGAAAGTCTTTGTGATCAGAACTATAACCTCCAGGCACTGATCATGTTCAGGATTTGTGAGATTGATCCCATTTCATAAGCTGACAGAACAAAACATTGCAGCATTTT